CATAGGTAAATTGTGAGGTTCGGATGGATAAAGTAAGTCTTCTATTATATACTAACAATGTGAAGGGGAATGGAAATTCTGAAGCTACTGATGGTGACAAATCTGAAGAAGCTGATGATGGTGATGAATCTGAAGCTAGTGTTAACAATGAAGCTGAAGCTAGAGATGGCAGAAGCTAGTGTCTATGATTCCGAAGCTAGGAAGGTAATTAATAAGTACTCGATGAAATTGTAAGTTCACTCGAACATCACCTGATATCTGTGCTGATGGAGGTAACAAGTAGAGGCTGATTTAATAGCTAAATCAGCCCTCTGCTCCTAAATTCTTGTTTCATTATATTTAATAGCTAATATGTAGCTTTATTTTTTCATGTCATCTTGCATTCTATGTCATTTTGAAAGATTTTAATGAACACCTGCACGTTCATCCATATTTAATCGAAGTCTATGCATAGCATCCACGTTGGCGTACTTCCATTAACATTGACGGGTTTCAACGGAAAATCAAGAGAAAATGTTGGTGTTGTATAAAAACTCCATTGGAGGTTCATTAATAAACAAATAATTCCATTCTACTTCTGTGCAACTACATGGTATGAGCACCAAAATACGCTAACGATTACGCCATCCAAGATCCAATTAATTGTTTTTTCTGTGCATAAATGGGCCCTTCCACCTTCATTGTTAATGCCGACGCAACCCCTGTCCTCAAACAGCTAATTAAAGGCCCACTGGCATGCTGCTTCATAGTCATGACCTCTATTGTAATCTTGACAACACCAAATTGTCCCCTCCCCAAACAGTCACCACTAATGGACTTGAGACGTCCAACCCCAAGTACAAAGCTTGGTTTCGTTAGGATAAACTAATCCAAATTGCTCTCATGGCCTTTGTTGATGCCACAATTGCACCCGTTGTAGCTTCTGCGCTCATCTCTAAAGCTGTGTGGGATCAACTTCACACTTCCTTTGTGAACAAATCACGAACCCACATCTTCAGCCTTCGTACCATCTCAGTCGAGTCAACAAAGACCACAAATCAATTGTTGAATACATGCGAGAGATTCACTCTCCCTCCGATGAACTCGACACAGCAGGTTCACCCATCAATAATGAATAATCATGGTGAAAATAGTGAGTGGACTCGGGCCAGATTTCCGTGAGATCTCAGCAGTCATACGGGCACGAGACTCTCCAATAAGCTATGAGCAACTTTTTGATAAGCTTATTGTTCATAAACTATTCATCAAACATAAGGACCTCAAGAAGAACAATCGACGCCCACCCAACAACAATAATTGGTGTCCCCAAAATAGGCAGCATACTCAAGGCAACACTTTCCAGTATCCAGTGGATACTTCCCAGTGGTGCAACTTCCCACACTAATCTTCACAAGTGTTTTCCTCTCCCGATCTCATAACCACTTTGAAGCAAAAGCAAATTTTGTTGTACAAACAACGCCGAATGACCCCTGGATTCTCAATTCAGGTGCGTCTCACCATATTACCTCTGATACCAACTCCCTCCACAATGTTTAGGACTTTAAAGGGATCGAGGAAGTGACAATGGGTAATGGTAATGTGATTCCATTTACTCAAACTAGTCCTATTTATATTAATGCATTAAATATTGCCTTCAAACTCTCTAATATTTGTGCAGTCCGCTATCAAACACAAGTTTATTTCAGTGCATCAGTTTTGCAAAGACAATCTAATTTCAATAGAATTTTTTCTTTTAAATTTCTTATGAAGGATCTGACTACAGGAACACCTCTATTGCGGCCTGAATAAACTAGGAGTCTATGTATGGCTGTCACTATCTCGACCAAACATCAACTTCGCCATTGTTGGACATTCCTTACATTTGTGGCATCGAAGATTGGGCCACTCATATTCTCGAGTTTAATTTTTCATTTTAAGTAATTCATGTCTTTTGTATTCTTCCAATGACAAGTTTACTTTTTGTAATTCTTGTTGTTGAAATGAAGCGCACAGATTTCCATCTTCTCCAAATACTTTGTCTATCAAATTGCCATGAGCAATAATTTACAGTGATTTGTGGGGCCCATCGCCGGTTCCTTCTATTGATAAAAAGAGATACTATTGTCTCTTTGTTGATCAGTACACCAAATACATTTGATTGTATACGATGAAAAACAAAATAGATTGTGCTAACGTAACTCCTAGTAAATAGGAACAAATAAACTTACGTGACCTAACTGAATAATAAATTTTACAAACTTAAAGTCTAAATTAACTCAAGATGACTTATCCTTATATACAACAGTGGTACATCCTCTATTAGAAAGAAATGTCCAAATGCAAGCCTAAATAAAAAAGATTGGTGTCACATGAAAGCCGAAAGGGGACCAGCCCATAATGCTTAATGTTCAAAGCCAAACTTTTTTTTTTTATCCAAATTAAATTCCATTTCCTCATCAAAGTACAAAGGAGGGGGGTGAGACCTTACCTCCGAGAGAACACCTAAAAAAAAATACATAATCTTCTTAAGTAGAATCCTAGAAGGATGTCAAAAAAAAAACACATCTAAAGTACCACTTCTTAAAAACGATATGACTTAAAAGTCTAAAAAACTTCTTACTATAAAAATAGCATTTATCTTCTTGATCCAGCCTAATTTAGTTAGCAGAACCCTCACCTAATATGGTACCCTTAAGTCTAAGGTGGGTCAAATATCCAAGAAGATTGTTTGACCACTCTAGTTCTGAAGGAAGGAAGATTCAACTTGTCCATTTCCAGATCTCCCCTAGCTTCCTTAGGAAGGCGATTTTCTTGAAGATAAATCGTATTCCGGAGGAGAGTAGTTGCATACTTTGCAAGCTTATCTGCAACGGTATTGCCTTCTCTATAGCAGTGAGATATTTCAATTTGTATTTCTCTAACTCTGTCTCTAATTTCTTCAATAATGGAAGTTAGCTTGAAGTGAGTGCTACAAATGCCTTGGATCATATGGACAATTATCATGGAGTCCAATTCTACTTTGAAGTTGTACATCCCTTGCCCACAACATTATTGAATCCCATCAAGCACAGTTCTGGCTTCACTGAAGTTGTTAGTTGAGAATTGAAGTGAGTTGGCAAAGGCCATAATCGTATCTCCATTTCTTTTTCTAACAATTCCTCCTGCCCCAGCCTTGCCTATGCTTTTCTTATAGCTTCCATCAGTGTTGAGAATGATATGGTAATCACAACTATTCCATTTCACGGCCCAACTAATAATTCTAGGTCTATAAGACATAGCAATAGTGCGGACAGTAAACCCGTTCCAGTGATCTTCCATTCTACTGAACTTCTTGGCTATAACAATCTTGGTCTGGAACAAAATAAGATGAATAATTCTAGCCTTAGATATTGTTTTATTCCCATACTTTTTTGAACATCTTGTTTTCTAGAATGCCCAACACACTATACTAGGGCCTAGGGATGATTCTGGTAAGCATTCCATGCACTGCATTGTTTGCTTTGGTATTCCACCAATAGACATCTATATGAATGATGATATTGTTACTAGAATCAATTCCAAGTGGCCTTAAAATCCAGCTCCATATGCATTTAGCTATCTCTCTTGCAGCAAATAAGTGATTATATGTCTCCCTGATGGGTGCCCTGCAACAAACACAATCAACATTAATGCTATTTCCAAATTTTGCCAGAGAGTTCCCAAGTGGGAGTTTCCTATTAAAAATTCTCCAACTAAGAAAAGAAATTTTAAAAGGAACAAATTTATTCCAAATGAACTCATAGTGATTAAAGATTTCTTCCTTTTGCCGGAGCTCCTGGAAAGCCGATACTAAGGTGAATTTGCCGATGGGATGAAGCTTCCATATAGGTTTATCCTTGTTCTCTCCAAAATTTGTATACACAGATCTGATCTCTTCCACTAGGTGTTTAGGAATTACTTCTTCAAGGTCTTCAAAATCCCACCGGTTATTTTCCCAGAACTCTTTCACTTTTGTGTTCTTTGGCTTTGAGGATTGCACAAGTTGTAGGTAAATAGGTCCACTTGATAACCATTGATCCCACCAAAACATAATATTCCCTTCCCCAATCTTCCAAAATATGTGTTGTTCCATACTACGTCTCTAGTATTAAGTAAATTTCTCCAAATAGAAGAATCTTTAGGAATCTTGACTTGACTTTGGAGATGGGATTGGATCTTGGGCAATACTTTGCATCAAGAAATTTTGATAGTAGGGATTTATCACTCCTATATCTCCACCATCTCTTGGCGCCAAAAGCATCACTGATATCGTGCAATTTCTTAAACCCCAACCCTCCTTCGTCAAATGGAAAACACATGTTTTCCCATGGGCTCCAATGGTATTTGTTTTTACCCTCCTTGGTAACCCAAAAGAAATTCGCAAAGTACATTTCCATTTGGTCCATGATGGTTTTGGGAGGGTCTAGGGTAGCCATAGTATACAAAGATTGGGACTGAAGAATATGCTTGATAAGTATAGCCCTGCCCCCTGCAGATAAAATTCTCCCTTGCCACTCTCCTGCTTTTTCCAAAACTTTAGTAGCCATGTCAGCAAAATAAGATACATTTTTCCTTCCTATATACACTGGGCAACCCAAGTATGTGAAAGAAAATTCCGCATCTTTGAAACTTGACCATTTTCTAAGTCTTCTCTTAGATCTCCTGTCCGAGCATCCATAAGTGTAGAAGTTAGTCTTGTCTCTATTGATCAGTTGTCTAGATGCTAATTAATAGTTGTTAAGCTCATTCATAACCATTTTAACAGATCGTTTATCCCCAGAGGTAAACAATACCAAATTGTCAGCATAACATAAGTGATTAATCTGTGGACCTTTGTTGTTCATCGAGAAAACTTTGTAATTAGAGCTATTGTTGATACTGGTAAGGTTTCTAGAAAGCACCTCATCTGCGATAATGAATAAAGCCGGGGATAAGGGATCCTCCTGCTTTACCCCTCTTGACGAACCAAAGAAACCAAATCTAGTACCATTGATGATCACAGATTACCAGTTGTTAGAGATGATATTGAAAATGATATCAATCACCTTGTCAGAAAATTCAAATTTTCTCATAGCATCCATTAGGAAAGACCAGGACAATCTATCATAAGCTTTGGACATATCGAGCTTTATGACAAGATTTCCTGAATCATCATGATGTTTAATACCGTGAGCTTGAGCCAGAACAACATTTTCTGTAATGAGTCTACCTTTAACAAAACCTGCTTGATTCTCTGAGATGATCCTCGGTAGAAGTTCAGCAATTCTTTTGGCCAATATTTTGGATATGATCTTGTTGGTAACATTGGCCAAACTAATACGTCTAAATTGAGAGAAATCTGATGGGGCCTTGACTTTAGGAACCAAAGCCAGACACGAGGAGTAAACAACCTACTCAACTCTGCCCCATTGAAAAAAGAGTGGACATAATTGCAGACATCTAACTTTATGATCTCCCAAGCATTTTGGAAGAAGAGGCCATTATAGCCATCAGGACCTGCCGCACTATCTAGATTAACTGAGAAGATAACGTCTCTTATTTCTTCTTCTGTAGGGATGTTTCGAATCTTCATGTTGTCTTCTGCGGTGATAGTGGCCTCCACATATCGGAAAATGTTATCATGATCTTGGGTATCTTCCTCAGTGAAAATATCTGAGAAATGTTCAATAGCAACCTCAAATATATTCGGCTTCCACAACATTGTGCATATTTTCCCTATTGCTGTCTGAGTCATTCTGGTCAAAAAGATCTTCCATATCCTTGGTGTATTGTTCCATCTGTTGCACTTTGTCAAAAACATTTCCAATGATGTTTTTTGACCAAAATCTCAATTTCCTGGAAAGAGCTTTCAGTTTCTATTGGAACACCCACTGTGCATTACCAAAGTTCAGGAATTTAAAATATTTGATGATATGTTGATTGTTGTTCTAATTCCTCATGACAATCACCATGTGATCTGAACCCATCCTAGACTTATGATCAATCCTGATATTCTGAAAGGTGTCCAACCAACTGTCATTAACCAAGACCCTATCTAGTCTCTTACTAATCCTCTTCCTTCTTCTCCTTCCATTACACCATGTAAAAGGGTTTCCTCTCCTCTAGACAATTAAGAAAGTCTAGACTTTTACTCAGTGTATATGGTTTTCCTCCTTTTTTTCCTTCAGGAGTTAGGATAACATTAAAATCTCCTAGCACTGACCAAGGGACACTAACAATGTCCTCCAAGCTTCTCCACAACTTCTTTCTCCTTGTGGGAGTCGATTTGGCATAAACTGTAGTAATCCAGAAGTAATTAGCCTCCCCTAATTACTTCCTGCACTTCATGGTAATCTGTTGTTTCTTGTTGGAAATGACTTCACATTCATAGGTATTTTCCCAGAAAAGCCATATTTTTCCATTGCTATTGTGAATAGCATAATCTATTTCATTCTGTTAGGGATAGGTTTTCCCTATATATAGGGGTGAATTTTGTTATTTTTTATCAAACATGATTGCTATTATTTGAGATTATTCTCTTCTTTACACCTTTGTGTGTGGTGACTATAAATTTATCTTACAACCTTATAAGGAAAAAGACGAACTTTTTAGAATGGACTAAAAAAAAAGTAAAATAAATAAATTGAAATGGAGGGAGTAATGACGAGAGGGAGTTGCTCGGATGGTAAGCACCCCTCACTTCCAACCCGAAGGTCGCGAGTTTGAGTCACCAAGGGAGCAAAAGGGGTGGGAGCTCCTAGGGAGGGTTAAAAAATAAAAAATGAAGGGAGTAATTAATATCATATGTATCGCGTAAATTAAACAATAAGTCTAAATTTCATCAAAAAAAAAAAGTAAATTAAACAAGATCAAGATTAAAATATTTTGAACACAAATTGGTAGATTATCAACATCTTGCTTAATTACACCTCCCTAAAATATTAACTACACTAGACACTAGTTATTGACTTGCTATAAAGGTAGATTTTTTAAATTTGATATTTCCCATCTCTATTAACTAATTGTCCAAATTTTATCCTTCATTTAGTATAAGGTGGTAGAAAGAAAAAAAAAAAGAAACCACAGAAAGAGAACAAAAATTCAAAATTCTCTTCTTCTTTTTTCTCTCATAATCTTCATAGGCTAAAAGATGGATTGTGAGATAACTGGTAATGTAAATGTTCCTTCAGCTTACATTGGCCTCAAAATACTCTTGGTTGATCATGACACAACTTCTTTATCAAATATAACAACAATTCTTGAAGAACATTCTTTTAAAGGTATGACAATATTATATCTCTGTTAGTTTTCTCTGATATGTGTTGGAGCTTTTCCCCCCTAATTTTTGTTGGATCCTCCACATAAAATTTGTACTTATATTCTATAGTTAAAGAAGTGAATTTCCGTAAAATTGATGATTGATGTTTTTTTTTTCCATAAATGAAACATAAAATTTGAATTTGAATTTATTTGGAGTAATTTCAGGTTGAAATTTGAAGAAGAAAAAGAGTGTATTTTATTGGCAAAAAAATATTTGATGCACATGCCTAAAACTTTTAGTCAATTTTAACATGTGTTTCAATCATGTATGACTTAGCATAGGTATAGATGAATAAATTACACCAGTGTTGAATGAATTTGTTGTATTTGTTGATGTTTCAATAAATTATGGTTGAAATTTGTCATTTATGATTCTCGAGAACATAACAAATGGATGTGACATAGTTAAATTATCTACCTAATGGATGTTTGAGAACATTAGCTTTTACTAAATATTTAATCTGAACTGTCTAACATAAACACTTTATCATTTGTTTAAACGCTCAATCGGAGCATGTTGTAGTTTAAATATCAAAAGAAAATTTATTATCAAGTGTAAAAGGGTATTGATATATTCAACCTTATGAAAATATATTCACTTAATCGTCAATTTTTTATCAACATGCTAATTGAGTTGTATTTTAAATGGAAAAAAATCAATTGGATTCTTAGGCAACAAGATTAAATTAATTAACTTATCAAAGACTTGAATGATTTAGTCACTTAGTATCAGTCAAATATTCATGTCTATACTTCTAAAGTAATATTATTAGTCAGGTCATACTACCTTTATCCGTGTAATAACATAAAGGAAAGGGAAGGTATACCACAAATTACTATGAAAATATCCCTCAATATATAAAACTTTTTTGTGATATTTTCTGAGTTTGATTTTTGGTTATATAGTAACTGCAATCGAACAAGCAACTATAGCTCTATCCATTCTCCGGGAACAGATCGACCAATTTGACTTGGTCATGGTGGATGTCAACATGCCTGAAATGAACTACCTTGAGTTCATCAAGTCCGCTCAACTCATCAAAGACAAACCTATCATTTGTAAGACCATTTTATCAAAATCCTAATTATTTTATGTGGTTTAATTAGTGTGTACTATTCAATAATTCAAAAGTGTATTTAAACGTGTTAATATCACACATCCTTACTAAACTTTATCTACTTTAATAATAATGTCAAAAAATTGACTTCTAAACACACTAATGTTACTTGTAGTTTCTCTATATGTTTTTTTGGTCAAATTCTATATTTATATATGTTCCTTACAAACGTGGTGTATATATTTATGAACATCTAAAATCTCTCGATAATTCTGGATACCTCATTTAATGTTTTGTTCTGATTTTTCATTTTTGGTGTAGTGATGTCTCCAGAGGTGACGATAGAAATGGTAAAAGAAGCAACAACACAAGGGGCATGCTTAATTTTTCAGAAATCGTCCATTTCATCAATGAAACTCAAGGATGTATGGAAGCATGTGAAGAACTACAATAACAAGGCAAATGAAATATCACAACATTACAAGGCTAATCAAGTTTATGTAATGGACAACACATCTTGTCCTAAGAAAGTGCAAGACAGAAAGGGAAAAACCATAGCGAATTGCTCTGGGCCTTATCAAGATCAAGCAGTAGGTTCTTTAATAGAAAAAGATGAGGCAAAAAGGTCTAAGAGAATGAGTAGTACTAACGAGGAGGCACAAGATAAAAGTAGCGGTACTTTAGAAAAAGAGGAGGACCATTCTTTGCTTTCGAAAATAACTACAGTAAGTCCACAAAAGAAAAGACGACACCTACAATGGACAACAAATCTTGATAAGAAATTAGACGAGGCTGTTTGCGAGTTAGGAGAAAAAGGTAAGTATTTGAAGACTTAGTTTTTATCCCAACAGAGATAAGTAGAAAAAAACAAGAACGTTGGTTAAGAAAAATCTTAAGTAGACATTTTCTGAATGTTCACAATTTACTATTGAATTCTCATTATATGTCTTACCATGTCTTACCATCCTAAAGATGTTCTGGAGAGGATGTGTGTGCCGGACTTGACCGCGAAACAGCTCACCGACCATCTAAAGGTATTCAAGTATGAAAAAAGTAGATGAGATAGCCTAGTTTATGACATTTATGATTCGAGGTTTTGTCGAATTTTCCTAATATTTTTCATCTTTTATGACCTTATTCAGGAATACCGATCCCAACAACAAGCTCCAAATATTCGACCTGCTACTACAATGATCTTCAACAAGGAACAACATTCCAATGTGTTGGATTCAAGGGACTTCTCTGAATTATTTCAAGATGCAGACATACCTCAACCATCTGAAGTTCCTTTTGTAGCTTCACCGAGTTCAAATGATGATTCCTTTAACAGGTGGGATGAGTGGTTTAATGAACTTCTAGAACATGATGATTTCAAGCTGAAATTATGCTAGAAAATCAGAGTTGTCAGATCTTACAACTGGCTAGATTACATTCCTAATATACATTAATGCACTTATGGAGAAATTTGGCACTTCTATATGTGACGATAGAATGTAATTGGAAAAGATGTTTGATAGTTTTTATTGATCTATCGTTATTGGCCTCTGTAGAACTCAAACAATCTTTATCTTCTTTTTTTTGCATATATCTATTTTCTTGTCATTTTGTGTGTTTGCTTTAGCATAAGACATGGAAGAGCTAGTCGTCGTTGGGGCTAACAGAATAACTGCTCTATGCTCTCAACTTCCAACTGCCTACTTCAGCAAACTTGTAATATTGTATGTATCGAATTGTGGAAGAGCTGAAGCTTCAAATGCTGTTAAAGCTGGTGGATTTGTTTCTCGCCAAGCGTGCTCTTGAATTTCCATTTCTAAGAGTAGTGTGGATTCATGAATGCCCTGAAATGAAGACGCTTGTCCAACAGGGAATATCTATGAGTACACCGATTCTCAAAAGTATGAACAATGATGATGAGGTAAAAGTAGTTTATTCAGTATTCTATAGTTTCGGTCACAATTTTTATAATTCAGTTACGATATTTCAGTAACTATGACTAAATTTCTATTTAATTTCAAATAATGATGTTAGTTTATCTATCAATTTCTAGGTTTACGATTCGCTCGATAAATATATAGAGTTTGGTGTCAATTACCCCGCACCCCAAAATGGAGCATTAAAAATAGAGAATAAAATAAGAAAAATTTAAGAGAACTACTTTGAAACAGAAGTTTCTCATACTTATGCACACTTGGGACTGTTAACTAAGAGTAAATTGAACTCCCTTGTAGACGAAAGCATCATAACATGTCAACGCAAACTGGCTAATAAGCTAACCGAGAACGAAGATATAGAATTTATTGTTGATTTCCTTCCCATTTTCTGTATTGAAGTTTGTGAACACAAATCAACATTTGCTCTTTCATTAGCAACGATTGGA